ATAGAGATAGATAGATAGGTAGATAGATAGGGACGTGGTCGTGGGATCTGTAAGCAAATATTCCTCATATATCCTTCTTCATTATAAAGACCACAGCCTACTCTGTCATTTCTTTCTCACTCGTGGTTGTACTTTAATTTGACTGGAATATACTGTCAGCATCCTGAGAGTTGGGATCACATGCGTTAGGTATGGGAAATACTGCTGATCTTTCAAAGAAGATATGGCTCCCCCTCGCCGGACAGGTTTTTCTGGACTGATTCTCTATTGATTTAAAACACGCACGTGTCCCTGTTGCAACACCTGAATAAAATAAACAGGTCATTACCAAAACTGTAGAACTTGACTGCATGCTGAGGTGGCGACCCCTAACAATACTCAAGTAAATCTAAATAAATGTAAGTAAATGTAAGTGTTTGGACAAATGTACTTCTAAAAGTACTTTTATTGCATATTTATGTTTATGTTCATTCACTCATGAGATGCTGTAACATGAATCAATGGCTGAATCGCCACATCAGCAAACAGTCATGTTCTGTAGTCTTGCTAAAGCCCTCATTTTATTCAGTGTGCTGCAGCAGGGACACATGTAAAGTCCCTCGAGGACTGTTTGATCGCTCTGGTGTTGGACCATCGCTCTGGATTTAAGCAGCAGAAACATCTGGCTGCAGATATCTTTAGTTAAGACGTTACTGACTCTGAAATCCAACCACGTGTTTGCTCGTTCACATAATGACCCTCAATCACCATGATCCCTGTGTAGCCTGATCATTTACAGGGAATGTGCCTGTGGGAATATTTCAGTGTACTCAACATGTACACAGATCGATGACAAGCTATAAAGTTATTGTCCAGATTCCCGTGTTTTTATCGTGCTGTGATACCCACTGCTTCTACGGCTTCGTATGCACCATATATCATTCGTCCAAGCAGGCAATAGGCTGGATTTGTTACGGCAGTGCTTATCATGAGTCAGTGGCTTTGATAACACAGTTTGCTGCTTTGCTTCGTGCTTTTTTGGATGTACATGCTCATCATGTCCCAGCATGCCTTGCAGAACTACACTGTATTGGAATAAAGGCATTATCTGCTTTAATATTATCTACTCTTAACTTGGTTTGTTTGACCACTGAGACTGTTGTAGCGAACCAGACAGGGCCTTAATGTTCATTAGGTCGTCCTCCTGTGCACACAGCAGACTGAGGTTGACAGGTTTGTTGTCACAGATCAAAAAAAGCTTTGGGGAAATCCCTCTCTTAACAACATCGTCGTAACAACATCGTTCGAAAGAAAGCACATGTTGCGCCAGGAATCTACGCCTGAAATTTAAAAAAAACACACGCACAACAAAAACAGCACAAAAAAGGAACCAGCCACAATGCAGCACACATCAAAGCGACCCGTGAATGACGCAGTTCTCTTAACCTGCGGGGTGATGTAATGCCTGGCGCTGTTTGCTTCCCTGCAATGGGTTATGAAGAACAATGTCATTGTGTAGGAGCATTCATTTTCACTGTGATGACAAATAATTTCAGATTACAGTTACAGTTACAACTTTGTGGTTAAGTGAAACCAGCGGATTATCTGTGACAGATGAGTTGTAACGTTTTACTTTTACAGCACTATTTAACTGCATTATTGTCCTGAGGATGTGTAAAGTCTTTTAAGTGTTTTAAGGATTTTTTACTCTTATTAACTCCAAGCATTGATAATTAAATCCTGGTATTTAGGCATTGGAAGTATGATATTCCCAAGGATTGTTGTTCCTAGTTAGGATTAGATTTTTTTAAGTAGTTCTGGAGACGGACCTTGCATAGAGAACATGCCTTCACTCTTCTCTCACTTGATTTTATGCAAATGCCCAGTGTTAACATAACGAATGCTGTAAATACAAAACAATAAGTTTTAATGTGAGTTACAGTACAAATGTCTAAATATCCTTAGATGTTCTTACATCTACATGTTATTGTGCTCTAGAGAATCTGTTTTTCTGCAACAAATATAATGTGTAACATTTATTTATCATATTCAATCATATTTTTTAAGCTACTCATATGAGTTTCATGTTTGACTTCAACAGAAATATAAAATCAAAATAATATAGCCACATTATTGTCCTCCATGGCACCTCGTCTGTGCCAAACGAAATGATAAGAAACCACAGGCTTTGACTCCCTTAAAATGTGAAACTCTGACAATCTACAAAAACAGGACAAACTTTATTGCTGTCATTTAAACGTCTGCACATCTGAAACCAATCATAAACACAGTGACTGTACAGTAGCACTTCTTTGGATAATACTAACGTAAAAATTACATTGTATGAAGAGACAATAGATAGGCAAAATAAACCACTCCCCCCAGTTTGACAGCCCTCACTGGCCAATGAGAGGGGGAAGGAGGGCATGTGTGGAGTATAAGAGAGGTGACATCCAGGTGGGACATCACACAGGTGAGCATTCACGTTCTGACATCTCCGCCTTTTAATGCCTGAGGATATTACTTTACTGCACCACACGCAGGAGTGCGCCTTCGATAGGTACGTCGATCTTTGCTGTTATTCACTCGAGTCAGCTGTTTTTGTCTTTTCTTTTCATGTGATGGTGTCTGATAAGTTAGAGAAGTGGTGTTGAGTTTATGTGTGACAGCTTCTTTCACTTCTCAGTTCATGTTTTGACCATTGGTTCAACTGATGAGGTCGTCTTCTCTTTCCAGATCATCCTTTTAGTATGCTGACAGAGATGGAGACGGTGAGTTTGATCAGATTTGTTTGACAATTTCTCTATTTTTTGTTGGGCATTGTGCATAGAAACTTATTTATATGTTTATAACTGGATCTGAGTGACAATTTGGTCTTAAATATTACCAGGTCATCTATGTATAGACTGAGGGTAAAAGGCTATGAAAAGCTAAGCCATATGGTACGGTTGCCTGCATGTTATCTGTGGCCATGAAAACACAAACACTTGCATAAATTTGCCAGTCAAACTAAAATACACATGCTTGCAGTGTTGCTCCTTGGCTCTTATCCAAAACAAACCCTTCAGCACAGAGCTGG